ATCTTAGACGGGTATTCTTTTAATCTGCATCAACGTTCGCTCTTTATACACAAATATTAACCTTCTTTATAAACACTAATACTCGCCCATCGATCGAAATTCCATTATTCAGTACTAAAGATTTATTTTCATTTTTAATCGACCTCCAAAAGGTTATCAATCTTTTTTTTTAAATAAACTACGTACGATTTTTTCCTGCAGTCGCCTAGAAAAAAGCAGTTTTCGTTTCATGGATTATTATGTCGTATAATATATTAAAACTGCCACAGTTGCTTATTTGAGTAATCACTATATAATTTCATTTAATTTTTTGCTTATTTACTTACGTAATACGGTCATATTCATGTTAATTGAAGTAATTCTTGATAACGCAATGCCCTTATTCTTGGTTCATTGGGATTTTTGTTCCTAACTCAATGGGTTGATCGGCTCATCAGGAAACACTCTTATTTTTATTCAATAATTTCTTCATTTGTACAAGGCATTCATACACCAAGTACCACTTTGTACATGACGTCTGTAAGACAGTTTTATGAAGTAATAAAACAATATATGAGTATGTATTCATTAGAGTTTATTTAATTATCAACTTATAATGCAGTAGGTATTTCAAGTTACATCCAATCATATAATTTCTGAATAGTGAGACAGAGGTAGGCAAATCGCACATTATTTTACGAACATCTTGAAATTGTTTAACATTGTTACAGGACACATATATCTAATTGTTTAACGACATCCAATTCTATTAATATTAACAAAAAAATCTACTTTATATATAGATAAAATGTGATAAATGCATACACATCCTAAGCGCTTTAATTTATTTATGTAATATTATGAAATTTCTATTTTAAAATCCAATAGAATATAATATTAGATAATAATAGATCATGGAATATTATTTTATTTCACTAGATATATATAAAATCTATAATATCATTCATCCCCCATGAGAGAATAAAAAATATATATTTCCTTTTAAAAATCTCAATTATATAAAAATTCATTATAATATAAAACACATCGGCAGTGATCTCTCATGGGGACAAGGACACGTGTAAGTAGAAACCAATTTTACATATCCTATAAAAATCATCTATACATATAAAAAAAATAAAAATATTATTTCATAGAAAAAACATATTTTCTAATAATTAACTTATGAAACTCCCAAAGATAACGTGTAAATCTTTTTAAAAACAGGTATGGAGTGTTTAGTCACATTAGCAGTAAAACTTACAAAGTCAAAGCTTCAAACTATCGCGAGAATCGAATCAACAATTGCATGCATCTGTGCATGACCACTGGCTGAATTGAAAAAGGTATTTTATTTTTAGATTTGTGTAGTGACAATTTATCTATTTAAAAAAAAAAACACTTAATTAGTCGTAATGTATTGTGACCATCCTAACAAAATAGACATAAACATTCTCAAGAAGCTTTCTCTTTGTACGCTTTTTTCTACTCTGTGGTTAAGCGGTGGTGAACTCTTAATAAAGTATTTTGATCAAACAAAATTGTAAATAAATTAAAAGAACTCTATAAATATTTGATATTTCAACAGAACTTACTCTCGTACTAGATACTTTACATTAAAAAAGGTACATCGAGTTATTAAATATTTCACTAAGAAAAGCAAAGTACGCGCAACGTCGTCACGGGTCACGGCTAACTGGTTGCCCACACGACAACCGAATTCAAATTCACAAACAACTATTGGAGTGTGTCCTCTCTCACATCGGTTATACATTTAATCAGAGTTCATTCATATGTAATATGGGAGGGTAAGAGTTTATTAATTTAGAGGAAGTCCTTGAGGACTTTTAAGATGTCTGGGGGTTCGGAGCAAGTAGGACAGGTACGCCGGTGCATTGCTGTTGCGGTTACATCGAACCACACATACGTATGCTAGCGATGCGCTTCAAACTCGACCGCGTCATCCTCGACGATGTTTCCGTGCCGCCACAGCTTGAGACGCGACTTCTTCGCGTGCTCTTGCGCAGCACGGTACTCGCCCATCAGCGAAGCGAGCCGCGGCTCCCGGGTGTAATCCATCAGCACCAGACCCTCTCGGATCAGGTTCTGAACACACACATTTTATATTACAAGCAAATAACACACAGCAATCAAATACAAAGTCAAACCTCCATAAGTTGAAAATCAGTTCATTCACAGTCAAAGTTACAACCCGCTATACACCTACATATATATTTTATAACCAAAAGTAGAATGTAACCTAAGTCTTTAGCAATTTATTTTTCAATTTAAAGAGGTTTTACTTCTATAATAAAAATCACTGACATTAGCTTCCTAGCATAATTTAATTGAAGTGGATCTTCTGGGATCGGGACTAAGAAACAAGTGAATGTACTCGAGATTCACAAAAATTGCCTTTTATTAGTGGCAATGTTTAATATTCCTTGTACCTAATTAGTAATATTATATAAGTCTTTTTGATTGTCTTCCCTCTTATTTCTTTTCTTATTAGGCATATATCACCGATAGTCTGTTGATGTGGTGGACAAATTATATCTATAATATGGTCTTGAGTTAAGACTGTCAGAGCGCAAGCACAAAGGATCTTAATTATAAATGTTTTATGTTACCTCAAATCCTTGAAAGTACGGAAGGAAAGTACTACAAATATCTTAATGTTAGTTACATAATACTAACACATTATTATGAATTCTCAGCTTTCAAGTTCTCTCATATTTTTAACAAATTTCAAATGATCTCTAAGTTCTATTCACACCAAAAATAACTATTTAAATCTAAAAATATCTTTGCAAGATACTTCATTGTAAAACACTTGAGAGAAAATTGTAGCCAGTAATGAATTACTATGCAGTACATTAATATGACATCATGGTCATATTCATTTAATATTATTGATAATTTGCTTGTAGTTCCAATCACATGCAAGAAAGAACATTTCTTTACACGCAGAACTACTGTCTGTTAGAAGTAACACTAGGAAATACATATGCGAGTGAATGATCAGAGAGCATTTTGTTAGAGATTAGAGAGAACTTCAGAGATGCATTTGAAGATGGTTGGGTGTTTTAGTGAAATATCATAACTAGCTTTCGCCCGCGAGTCTGTTCGTGTGGAATTAAAAAACAAAAACAAGTAGCCTATAAGTTCTTCCAGTCTATGCTCTACAGCCATTTAGGCTAAAAATTCTAACATAAAAACATCCATCCATCCACTCATCTAAACTTTCGCGTTCATATCAGTAAGATTATGCCTCTGCCAAGAGGCAGGATAATTTTGAAGATTCTCTCCCCCCAAACCTGGAATCAAAAAACTCAAGTTTACCTTTCCAATGTCGCATTTGGTGGAGGCGTCAACGAGTGTGACTGCCGGCGGCGTGCCGCGCGACTCAATGTTCAGCAACAGCTTCTTGTTGAGCGTGTCGGCGCAGAAGGCGCGCATCGCCTCGCGCAGCTCGTCAGCGTCACTCGGCAGCTTTATACAGCTCAGTACGTACTCGCTAACGTACGGCGGCTCGATGTCCATGTTTGGAGGCATCGGAGCCAGCCGGGTGAAGTCCAGTATCTAATCAACAAAACATTTTGTTAAAACAAAAATAAGCATCGGCTAACAAACATCCATCCATCTATCTAAACTTTCGCATTTATATACCATAAAGTAATGTAACCAGTTATAACTTATATATTTACCTCTCTGTTTCCGTAATCAATGTAGAAGATATGAGCATATCCATCTTCAGTGACCTTTTCAATCTTAGCCCTGTACCAATTGTCGTCAGCTGTGAAGCGAGCCGCGCACATGTATCCCTTCCGCGGTACGAATGAGCCCGGCATCGGGCTGCTGCAATTCTTAAAATCATGGTGCATCCTTTCCATCAGAGCCTCCAATTTAGGAATAAGATCTATATTCTGGACGTAGAAGTTGCCATCTGGCTTCACAACAGTGACGATAACTTTGTCGTAATTGACAATGCGTTCAACTATAGGCGTGTTGTGCTCCTTCTCGATTTCTTGATCAACCTCAATGAAATCTCTCCACAATCCAATACGCTTCATTTTAGCGGTCTCTTCGGCTGTCTTAATAGCTCGCGCGTATTCAGAAGACTCTGCGGCATGATGCATAGTGGCAAGTCCATGCTCAACAAGGGAAACCGACATGTTCTCATTTTCGATCCAGAGCCAGCCGATGAAACTACCCGCCTTGTCCATATCCTCAATGGTTACATACACATCGCGTTGGAGGCATTTCTCTTTTGTGAACTGAAGGGCTTCTTCACCATGCGGCTCAGCAAGTTGCATAGGTCCCCCGCTAGCACTGGGACGGGCGCCTCTAGGGCATACAACTCCGGCCAATAAGAATGTAACAAGTACAGACTCTTTGGGAATGTACAGACGAAGCCTAGAGCCGCTGGCGACGAACTCAACAACAGCCTCGGTTTTCTGTATTCTCTTGAGGAAAGGTAAGAATTTCCTTGCTTTAGCAGGATCCCCGCTGGTATCTTGAATGCGATGGGTGGGAATATCTTTCTTGGCGTGTAATCCAATGGCTGCCTTTTGAGCCTTTAATTCTGATTCCAGCAGCTTGTCATAATGGGAGCTTCTCTGGTCATTGTCATTTCTGTATCTTACAACAGTTGCATATCCCTTGGACACAAGTGCTTCGGCGATATTGCTATTAATAAAATTAAAAGTTAATTAATCCGTGTATGTTGTAATAACAAATAAAATAATGTGGAATTACACTTACGTTGCTCCGGCCATGACTGTGCAGCAAGTCTTAGCTGGGTAGGTGTCTTTAGCAGGCTGAATGTAGTCAACTGTCACACTCACTTTCTTGCCAATGAGCTTCTTCCTTAAGAATTCTCGAGCTTCATACATCCAAGGAATTTCATACAAAGGTTTAAATCCTTTTGGTCTCGGTGACTGCTTTGCTTCTTCATCCTGACCATTGTTCCTAAAAATGTTTAAATTAATTATATAAAAATATTTTAAAGTCATTATTACTTTATTAAATAATAATGCTGCATTTGTGAACAGCTGTTCTTACTTTTCACGTGGTGGTCTGATGCTAGCCAAAAATATCTTCTTAGTTGTACCATTAGATAATTTAATCATGAGAGCATCTCCGTTCATGATCTCTAACACTACTCCTGTGAACTCTTTGTCTTTAGGTGAAATAATCGGCGCATTCGATATGTACTTAGTCCAGATGCGGAGTTTCGCTTCCTTCGCTACTTTCTCGGCGGCTCTCAGCGTGGCAGCACCTAATTAATGTAAATTACATAAAATCATATTGATGTTATATTTTAGTGAATAAATGTAAAAAAGTTTGATTATACATACCAGACTTCATAACTGCCAGGGACCAATCAACACATTTTGCAAATCCTTGTTTAAGCAGAGCTTCAGCAATGTTCCCACCGGGATGTAAGATGGTTCCCACGAAATATGCGTTGTTAACTGATTCCAGAATTACTTCAACATCTTGCTGCAGCAATTTAGACTCTACAAAGTATCTCGCTTCTTCAGCGTATGGCTCTGATTCTCCATCTTGCTTAATTGCAGGGCACTACACAAAATATTTGTTGGTTAAAATGACTTTTATAAAAAATATAGTAACATAATGTCCTCAATATCATAAATATACTTACTCTGATTCCGGACATCATCAAGGTGATTGTGTAGTAATCGGGTAGTAATGTCAATCGCACAGTGGATCCATCTCGGACATATTCCATAACAGCTTTGATGGGCTGGCCATTATGTTTGTTTACAAATTGTTTGGGATTATCAATGGTCCACTTAATATCCCTGATATGTTTCTAAAAATATAAAACAATGTGACTATCCTCTTTGCTTCTCAACCAATATGAATATCGAACAAGTAAAATCATAATTTGTTATCATTGAGTACATTTTTATTATCATTATTCATTTCTTATACAACAATTGCTTTGTAGGATTTACTAACCTGGATATCAGTACCCCATAGACCTTTTCCTTGCGCTCGTGCAGCATCTTCTATTTCAACTAGTTTCTTCATAGGTGGAAAGTTTCGGCTGCTTTCTCTCACTTTCACTAATCCTTCAGCCAGCAGTGATTCTATTACATTTTCATCTTTTGTGGGATCCTTTCCTATCCAAATTGAACCATACTCTCTTGTTGCATTGGGGGGTTTTTCGGAAGTGAATATGATTGATTTGCCAACCAACTTCTTTCTCAGAAACTCCCGAGCTTCCCATCCAAATGGTTCATCCTTTGTTTCAGTATTGCTACAACACAAACAATTTTTTGCTTTCAATTAAATTAAGTCTTTATTTCATTACAGGAGCTGGCCACCATACTGTGTTTATATACAGGGTTATTGGTAATTCAATATATTCCCACTAGGAGGTGATAGATTAATCTCTAAAAAAATTGAAGTAAAATGGTTCTTCAGCTCGCATTTTTTAATTTGGATCATAATTGATGTTTTTATAATGTTAAATAACCAGTTTTTAATAACTTTTATTAATGTTATGAAATAATGAAGTTATAACTGATAGTCTGTTTTAATTGATTTTTGAAGTTGCATTTTTGACTTATTCTTAAAAAAATTTAAAATCATTGTACCGCATAAATGGTCAAGTTTTTTTTAATGCATATTGGGGTCCAAATTATCACAAATTACCCCCTATATCGCGTCCTAACAGGAATACTTAAAATTACCCTGTAGTTTAGATTGCCACAAACCTGTATTTTCAAAAAAAATCTTTTTTGGTTTTGATTTTTGTATATTCAATAATCTTTACATAATTGGAAGCTTTAAGCGCCCAACTTATTGTGGTAATTTGTTATAACTTACATTAGTCTTATTACTTAACAAATTATCACTGCAAAATTTGAACATCAACAATACCTTTATCATTAGTATTTATATATTTCTTGGGATATTAGGCTTATTTCATTAACAAACAATTAATTAACAAAAGGGCAAGTCAAATAAAAACATGTTGAAAACAACCAGTAATAACATAAACTAAAATGTGCATGTACATTTGAACTTTGTACATTATTTTAAACGATAGGAATGCAGCATAGTTACTTTAAACGATGATTTTTTTGAATAACTGTTTTTAGCATGTTGTTATTTACTGTTTTAAGCATTTTAAGCATGAACATTATTTTTGTAAAAAAATATATACACAATTGTTATATTTCCTTGTGCATATTAAACATGCAATTCATGGAAAAAATGTAGTTTACAAGTAAATAACTTAAATTAAATTGACATTATTTGAATTGATGAACAATTTAATGGAACTAGCAAAACTGCATTTCTAGAACATAACCTAGAATTTGCATTTCCATAAAAAAAATCATTATTCTCATTTTTTGTTTCTCCTATTATTTTTAAAGATAATAACTGGAATTAATAGATATTTTAATACTAATTTAAAAGTATTGTTGATAATCTGGATGTAGTTTTTACATTTCTTAACAAATTAGAAATTTCGCTTCAGAGGTTATCATATAATAATACAAGCTTTCGCCCGCGACTCCGTCCGCGTAGTAGTAAAAAAAACAAAACCAAGTAGCCTATGTATTCTTCCAGACTATCCTCTACATCTATGCCAACTTTCATTAAGATCTGTTTGGCAGTTTAGGCTATGAACTCTAACAAGCAATCATACATACATCCATCAATCTATCATCATATCATCTAAACTTTCACATTTATAATATTAGTATGAAGGCATGGATATATGTTGCAAGGTATCTCAGACTCAATGAAATTTTGAAACCGATGTTCTGTATTGACAGTCTGAAAGAATGAATAAGCTGCTTATTTTTGTTTTTGTTTAATTCCACACAGACACTGGCAGGCAATAGGTAGTATTAAATAGATGAATGAAGACAGTGACAAGGCAAAATAATATCTATGTAGTAAAAGAAAGTGACATGCCACGCCTATAGCATTGCACAAAGTATAACTGCATATTGCAAAATCTGTGCCAGAAGTCAATATTCATAGCTGTATTGACCTAGAGCCAGCAAGAATAGCACTAAATGGAAATTGTTTACCTATACTTAATCTTCACTTGTTTTCTAATTATTTGCTACATTATAGCAAAACTATACATTGATAATGATTTTAATTGTTTATTCAAAGTTGAACAATAGAGAAAATTAACATGATGTATTTGGAAATCTTGAGTATCTTGGAATCACAGCATTTTTAGATTAGCATTGAGATATTTTTTTTTTTCATTTCTATCTATTGCAGTCATAAGTAAAAAAATGCTTGAAGTTGTCATTTGTAAGTTTATGGAACATTTTTGTTATAGCTATAGGAACTTATTACTTTCATTTAGATTTGTCTACAATTATATTTGTTGGTACTCTATATCACAGATGCTTTAGTTGAAATTGGGTTCAAAGTTAAAATTGGATTCATAGCAGTATCTTGCACAGCTGCTAAATTTGAGGTGAACTTAATATATAGGCAACAGCATAAAAGATAGTAAAGGCTCAAGCTAAATGCATTTGGCGCTCAGCTACATTGCAATATTTTGTCTAAAGTAAAAGTGGCCATTAGCAAAATTAATATTAATTAATCACAATATCAGCTAGATATTATCTCTAAGTTTCAGACGTAATGAGCGCTAAATGCATTTGACGCTCGGCCACGTCTTAACCTGGAAATCCGTTGTAAAAATGTACCATCAATAAAAAAAAACCTTGTTATATTATATTTCAATGCAATAAAACATTTATACATTCAATATAAAGACAATAAAAGGCATGAGAGACTTACTTGTTGACTGTTTTCTGACGGGCGAGTTTGGGTGCGGTAATGCCCGACAGCGAGAGGGTTTTTTCGGGAGGCGGCCCGCCTTGTGGTTGGCCTCTTATAATCACGGTATCGCCAGATAACACCTGCAACGCGAAATGCAATGTTACAATGCACTTTACATTCACCAATACGTTGAAAAGTTTGAGAACCACAATATGATTCCCACAATGCAATGTCCTAAAAATACACTTAATCCGCACAAATAAGTATTAATGCTAAAATAACAATGCATAAATCAGATAGGGCAAGAATAAAACATTTATTTATAAAAATAGGTAACATATGCTCAAAGTATGAACAGTGCCAACGGGGCAATGTGGGACTAGGAGATCGGCACGAGGTATCACGATATTCATTACAGCACACTAAATGCAAAAATAAATATAAATATCTAAAGTAAATTTATATTACCATTTTAGCAACTCCGCTCTTATAAATTGGTGCTGGAGCACTCATCTTGACTAAGTTATTGAACCAAATGAAGAACTGAAAAGCTATCAACTATTACACAGGAATGAACTAATAAGACTGGCGAAACGTGGCGTGTGGCGTGCCACCGGTGTTTCCACATTCAAAATATACAGTAGAAAACATAGAGTAACGACTGCTTGTACTTTCACCCTACCGGAAGTGACTGGAGAAATTCCAGAAAATGTGAAAATTATATTCTTTCCTCTAGCGTTTTAAACAGTGCTTTTTTAAACATATTTCGTAAAAGAATCTCTAATATATGTAAATGGTGAATATATCCTATTTTTCAGAAAAGTAAAGATTGTGTACGTTTTAAAATGTCACTTGACGAGTTATGATTCCGTTGGATTTGACCCAAAGTATTTTCTGACAAGCAGTGTTGCCAGAACAAATGAATTAATATTACTTATTATTTGTTAAACTTCCGGCGTGACGGTATTGCTGGTGTAACAGGTCGATAACAAAGCTACGTTCGGAAATCACTTTCTAGATAAATGTATATGTTTTTAATGGAAAATGTTTGCTTAATAAAAATGAACACAATCGCGGAAATTTGAATTACTTTTTGGTACAGAAATTTTATTCTTCTTTCGGCATTAAGGCTCCTTGAACAATATTCCTTAATTATATTTAGGTCGGTTCGAGCCATCACAAGACTTAGAATCGTGATCAAAAGTTAATTACTAATGACGATTGCAAAGTCGTATCTTTGTGGACGTGTTTTTCTTTTTTTATTATTTATTTCGGACGAATTTGTAAAATGTCTTGTTCACAAACAATAAGCCTATCCGTAAAACAGCCTACATGTTGGGCGTGGCCCTTTTGGTAGGGTCTTTACTAAATTATAAAACAAGACAAAGAGGGTAATAAAGCAACAAAAAAAAATCTTTTTATTTGTCACGCTATTATTATTTGCAACCTGGGCGAATCCGGGACGGAATGGTAGTTTTCAATATGGTTAGAACGATGAGTCTTTTAGTGATTACGTTAATAATAATTATACATCAATGTAATTTAGCTAATGATTTTTTTGTTTTAAATGATAACTGACGAAATTTACCTCTATGATCAGAAGTCATTACAATAAATAACTTTGATTAACATATGGACCTTAAATGATAGATTAACACATACTATTCGATATGCTTAATCGTTCTTTAAATTAAGAAAACAATTTTAGCTAAAATAGTAGATACAAACATAATGAGATATGCCACTAAGCCCTATTGGCAATATTTTGCATTTCATATAGAGTTCTGGCTTGGTCTTAGATATATACTTAGAATTAGTACAGGATTTCTTTTAGCAATTTTACAAATTCTTTAGTTCGGAACTTGTTTGGGACCACGACTAAGAGCCGCTCTTATCAACTTTCTTTCCCAACTGTTTTTTCCAAATTGCATAGTTATCTGATTTCAATATCAGTTTCAAATTTCAGTTATCCAAAAATAAATAAATAATTAGTTTGCCGGAAAAGTACCAAGATTAATTAAGCAACACAAACATAAACGTACCTTTTTTTCTAGATAACAATTGCAAATTTGAAAATATCTTAAAACAACGAATTAGGGAACTCACAATACCTTTTAATTATCAATACAAGTTATCACATAACAGAGTTTCTTTGGTAAACATTACTAAAATCTGGAAAAATAATTCTTGTTATGGTCTTCTTGATTCGTTTTTCACGTATTTATAGTTCTAAAATAAAGTTTTACTGTTTACACGAAATGACAAAACAAAGGCAAATCAAGCGAGTGACGCCAATGGAAAAAAAATTATCCTGTTTTTTTTGTCCCACTATAGTTGCTGAAATTCCGGTAAAATGTTTCTATTTAAAATGGCTATGTTATTCCTATCTATTAATTTAAAATCGAATTATTTTTAAAAGCAAACTTTTTACAACGACATTGTATGTATATGTAACAATTTGAATGAACATTAAAATATTAATAACTGGCCAGAAATGTCACAGGAAGTGTAATATTTAAATGTGGAATGAAATAAATGACAAATTACTTTTTCGTTTCAATTTAACCACATGAAGTATTGTGTATTATGTAGCATTTTCCACTGACGCTATTACATGAGGTTCATGTATTTATTATTTCAGATAAGAATCGTTTAAAATTTACTTTGATTTGAGTTACAATGGCTAGTACAGATTTTAGAAAGGAAGTGACCATGCCCGTGAGACCAAGGAGTGTCTACACTGCTCATTCGTATAACCAGGTGATGGATAGTTTTTATTACTTTTTTTCATTGTATTTTATTAACATTTGAACTTAATTATCAATTTACAGAGAAATGTTACATTTTTCACATCATTTCATTTATTTCATAACGATCCAGAGGGTTTGTTAACCGTCGGTTATTATGTTGACACACCTTCCTCTGGGATCTTGCGAAATTAAATTAGGAAAAGAAAATAAATCGTCCATTTTCTTAGTATATTGCGACATATATATTAAGCTTGTTTTCTCCACTAAAAACATTCACACGGGTAGACAAGCAAAAGATTCAATAACTTCCTACCTTTCAAGGTCGTAACGAGAAGTGTTTATTTTAGAAAAAAGTTTGATTATTCAACAGCCATAATGTTTGCAATTTACTTAGAACTTGTATACCTGTCTCAAAGAAAAGTTCGAAAATATTCGAGAGACTAACATCTTAAACACCATAAAAATTACAGTGATTTTATCCAGAATGTAAATGTCATTTGATACCGTTTATTCTTCAGAGGAAAATGAGGGTACAAACAGTTTATATTAGATTGTGTACCATCCTACTTCCAGGAGGAATCCAACCTCTCCGCGTTTCAAGATTACAGCAAATTTTTGGAAGGTGGTTTGGGTCAGGCCGAGCTAGTTGGCGCAGCGGCGTGGCAGCCTCCGTGGAGGGCTCCGCTGCAACGCAAGGCTCCCTTCTACCCCGGCGACGATATCTATCATGCCGATACATGGAGAGATTTAGAGGTCAGTTTTTATACAACTATACTCTCGCCAGGTAACGCGAGCCATTTTGGATTCCATATTTTACAAAGGAGACTTCTTTTTTAACATTTAAGTGTAACGTCTTCTCTGAACAATCAAAGGCCTAATACGGTCATTAACTTTATATTTCTGATGCGGTTTTATGGTTTCTTTTTGAGGAATTAAATATACGTTTAACATCAGGAGAAGTGGCTCTAGGCTCTAGTGGCAAACTAAATAAATGTTGATTAGCCAACTTTGCCTACGAACATATTTCATGGGTAAGTACTAAGAAATAAAAGAAGAGATTACAATTTCGTCGTTAGTAAATGTTATTTAAAACAAAGCTATGCCATTAACTAGGTTGCTCGGCACGTCTTCGTCTTTCCGTTTCGATTTATTTACCTCGTTTATTGAAAAATATAGGTGACGGATGTAGCTGGCGGAGCTCGGTATAATGCTTCGGTGACGCCGCATGGTACGGTCTGTCTGAGGCTAAGAGACAGGGTTAAGTAAGTATCTACCAGTTATACTCGTAGTACTCTACAGATTCTACACTTAGAATAGATATTTGAATGCACGTTTTAGAGAAAAGACTGCCAATAGATTTTGGGCATCACCAAAATACTTACCTTAAAATAGCAGGGCATAAGATTTTAAAGCAACGATAGTCTTGAACCGTTTGAATGATTTTCTTCCTATCATTCCCACAAGTAACATTGGCTTAATATGTCTAAACATTGAAGATGCTAAATAATTTGAACTATCGAGAGACATTATTATAACTACATGCATAAACACAAAATTAAAAACGGCTAGCACTTACGGAAATTTTTTCGATGGCGGCACCAACTAGTTTTGGACCGATCGGGGGTCCAAGGCAAGTGTTATTGTGCTTTCTTCCTAGTAATGTGAATAAATATGAGTGCTAGCTGTTAATTGGTAGTTACAGAAGAAATGTTTGATTTGAAGTATTGTGTTTAAGGGTCGACATGACGGTTGACGGCGCGGTGCGAGTAACGAATGCGAAGTACAACATTGTGCTTGCGTTGTCGCAGTCTGGTGCTGCCGCCGCGCTCATACATCCCAATGGACGGGTTTACAACTACCGCTCCAGAGTAGAGATACAAGCACATCATCAGCAGGGGAACAATAAGTTAGTACTTATACTCCAGCTTCCAATGAATAGCTAGTTCGCCCAGGTGGCCGCTTGCTCGTTTGCCACCTTATTACATAAATAAAACAAATGTTAGTTATGAGTGTGTAAGGGTACACCGTTGGAGGTAGTGGTAGAGGTAGAAAGAGATGGATGGATTGCGTGAAAGGTTACATGAACTAGAAGGGAGTGATGACTGAGATGACGGATGATAGTTATTTGGAGGACAAAAACCTGTTGCGCTGACGCTAAAGCAGTAGGATAAAGAGAAAGATGATGATGATGAAAGTAAAATCAAACATCGTGTTTTACCATCCTATTTGATGTTAAACGGCAACATGATTAAAAAAATAAATTTGTTTTGGACAGAATTTTTACAGTCGACCGATTTTCTAAAGCTAATATATTGCGCTCGCTTCTTTAATTGGTTCCTATAATTTCTCATGTTAGTGTTCGATTATATCAAAGGTACGCAAAAATGTGGTACAAGGGGGTATCGTTTACGGCGGAGCAGTGCGCGCTGGTGTACCTCGTGGACGCGGCCGGCACGCGCACCACCACTGACACCTTCCTCGACATGAGCCAGGACTTCACGCTTAACGTTTTCTACAAGTAAAAATATTGTATACTCATTCTTCGATGAATCAACTTTTAACCGAATTAGGGTATGACTATACACCAGTACTGAATATTAATATTTTTATCTTCAGAGCGCTTCAATAGGTACGCTTTAGATGCTAGCTCTAGTGTGGTTAATTCATAGCTAGGAGGTCGCTTAGTGTTGATTTTTGATATATAATCTACACTAAGGGAGGCTATTGCTACATTAAGTGCGACAGACATCTAAATAGCTTTCAGATGATCTAAAAATAGGCTTACTGACAATGTTTCAAGGATCTGTTACGCGCGGTTTGGGTCATGTAATTCGTCACTATGTAAGAGGTCTAAAGGT